GATATTCATCACTCCGTTCCTGGTATTAAAGATTTTGCCGTAGTAATAATGCAGATCTATTTCTAATTATATACTATTATGTACTATATGAAAAAATTGGGCTATTATATAAACGGCACATATATTGATAGGATTCATGGCCTTCTGTTCGTCCTCCGTTACTATTAATATTCGAAATATTACTATCAGAAGCTATAATTTTTGAAATATGGGTAAGTTTATGTATAACCGTGAAACTTAGATATCTCATTGCTGCTGAAATATATACAGTATTTAGATTTTTTTTATTGCATCAAAAAGTGGCTAAGTATTGCAAATTTCGCTTTTGCAAGTTTTTATTTGTTGTCTTGGTAATAACTCCAAAATTAGTAACACCAATATTCGATTTTAGGCTTTCTTAAGTACCTCGTCTGTGGTTGCCTAATACCAGATAATGTGTTAATTTAAGATTAGCGCTTGTTGTTGGGGCCTGTATGAGCTTAAGAGATTATACTTTTGCCGGCCTGCAAAATAAAATTTTTAAGAAGCTTGATCAGTATTTTATTATATTTTTGAATATCTGGCCAGCAATTTTACTAAGATCTTAAAATTTTGAGTTTTAATAGTCCTCTACTTAGATTCTTATGAAATTTGGCTTATTTAAATTAATCAGCGTAACTTTGTAAAAAAGAGATGGGCTGTATTTACCTTTTTCGATTTACTTGTAGTGTTTCGATCCTAAATCCAACTATCGATTGATCTTTTAATCCAAATACCCAGATCAGAGATTTTTACTTCGATGGTCAAAGAATTTAAATAATGGACCTAAGAATGTGTCCAAAGTAAGCTTTATATATAATCTGATGCAGATTCGATCCAAATTCGATAGAATCCAGATGGTCTGTCAAAGATAGGATCAAAATACTAAGCGCTTGCTTTATAGCATCATTTGCACAACTAATCTTACATAACAGTAGTAGGTATAAATGAGTGCTGTCAAGAGAAAACTCGCAAATCTTATAAGATTTACGGATATTCTCTTGGCGACACTCATATATTAAAAGAGAAATATATAGTATCGATATATAAAAATTAAATTTAGACTTTAACCATGTAACTTTATTGTGAAATTATATGTTTAATAAACCTGATACAAATTATGAAGGGCTTTTCTACTGCGTTTTATAACTATATAGTTTAAAAAAAAAAAATTTTTTTTAAAAAAAAAAAAAATCCGTGCGGCCGTGTCACTTGGCACCAGTTCGTGATATGAAAATCAATTAATTAAATTTGTGTGGCCTAATCGATTTGAATTTTACAGACCCAACTTAGTCGATTAATTGATTAGTCGACTAATCGATTAATCGATTAGCCAACTAATCGATTAATTGATTAGTCGATTAGTCAATTAATTGGCTAGTTGATTGGTCGATTAAATCAACCGATCACATAAGAATATCAACCGGCGTTTCAGTTGCTACCTTATGTGTATTTTACCAAGTTTCGTTTATTATTTATTCAACTAATCGATTAATTGGCCAATCGATTAATCAATTAGTCAGTAATCGATTAGCCAACTAATCGATTAGTTGAATAAAACTGATTAATCGATTAGTTGGATAAAATGATCTATCAACTAATCGATTGAAAATTTTTCGTCGATTTGTATCACTACTGCAGGGTTGGTTTTCACAAAGTGTCGAAATAAATAAAATAAAATTAAATATGTAAAAAAAAAACAACCGAAAAAACAAAAATTTAAGAAAATAGAATAAAAAAATAAATGAAGCCCAAAATTTCTATTTCCCTGAAGAGTTCATGTTCTTGCAAATTTAGACATTGCTGGAGAAATCAGGGTTGTGTCCTTGTAAGGTGCCAGGTTGATGTTCTTGTATAATGCCAGGTTGGTGTTCTTAGAATCATCCAGGACGGCCCCCAAAAATGCAGTGACGTAGATTATGGTATACGTACGTACGTACGTATTGCAGAATTGGTATTGGATTACAATCACTAAAAAATGATCAACAATATATAGCTAGAAGAGAGCCAATAAGTGGCACTAACTAATCTTACGTCACTGCATTTTTGGGGGCTGTCCTGGATGATTTGTGTTCTTACAAAGTGCCGAAAAAGTCTGAATTTGCTTGCAAAATGCAGGAAATGTCTGGGTTAATTTTATTGCAAAGTGCCAGAGAAGTAAGAATTGTGTTCATGCAAAATACTAGAATAAAAATAAATTAATAAAAAAAAAATTAAAAAAAAAAGTCAAATAAAAAAATAAATAAAGCTTTAAATTTTTATTTCTCTAAAGAAATGTTTTTAAAAATTTAGAAATTGCTGGAGAAATTAGTTAAGTTCTTGCAGAGTGTCGAATAAGTCTGTAAAGTTTCGAAATAAAATAAAAAATAAAAACAAAATCTAATTATAAACAAACATGATCTCGTAATACAGTATTTGCAGATTAATTTAGATACATTTGCAATATTTCGAAATATTTCAAAAATATTAGTTCTAAAATATTTCGAAAACATTTTTGAAATATTTCGAAAATTTTATATTTCGAAATATTTCGAAATTTATTGCAAAATATTTTATTTATTTTGTGGTTTGCAAAATCTTTCAAAAGATTTTGCAACTTTAAATTTGCTGATGTAGGCAGATTATTAATTAAAGATAATAAATTATTAAAATTGCTAACTTAGTATTAATAATACACTATATATTGCTTATTATTTGCAAATAATTGCATATCTCGAAATTATCAGATTTTGTAAAGTACAACAATAGGTTAATTTTTAAAATCTGCAGTGCTTTGTACTTGTTTATAAATAAGTTTTATTCAATATATTAGTGCAAGTATATGATTTAGATATTTTCCAATGATTTGATTAATTCATTAATTTATTAATATTTCAATGAATGTGCAATTATTTGGTTTAATCCAATATTTTATTTTCTTGTTAATCCTTATTCCAATACCTTCGTCAGATATTGCTATTTATCATATTTTAATAACACTTATTAGTAAAAAAAAAAAAACAAGCATTATTCACCAGTATATATTCTATTCAATATTATAAATGAATAAAATGCTAGTTTTTAATTTTTGAAAATATTGTATCATATCGCTCTTGATTTGTATAACAAAAAACCAATTTACTAAATGTTTGCGGTACCAATCAAGTTCTCTTTTTAGTCATCACATTTTCACATTAAGAAAAGAGATGCTCACAGAGTACTGAGGTTAATAGAATTGCAAGGAACTTTCGAGCAAGACTTGCTAATTTTGGAAGTAAATTTTTGTGATTTGCTCACTACTGTAAGGGATTTTCTAAAGGTCTAATCATTTCCATCATAAGATATTAATCAACTTCATTTTTATGTGTTATCTTTTGCTAAACTGCTGTAAAAACTGTTGATATGAATGACCTGAATAGATCAAGTTCTACTTCGTTTAATGACGGCTCAAAACTTTTATCACTCATAATTTGATCATACTCTAACCTAAAGTATTCTTGATACTTCAATGTAGCACCTTTAAATTCAAAATTCTTGCAACTTAGATCAATTGCTGTTGCAGTAAATAATATTTTATCATCAAAAAACTATTTATAAATAATATATTTAATTTAAGTAATTAATATAGTAAACAATTCTATACAACACTGCATCTAATATCCCTCTGAAAAATTGTAAATTCTAATATTTTTGAAAAGTATCCTGATCAGTATCTAAATAAATATATGGAAGGGGTGGAGTACACATTAAAAAAAATTTTCGCATCTTAATTAACAATGTATATGCAAAGTGCACATTAAAATTTTAAATTCATATATATTTTAGGTTTTGTAATGCAATATATTTAATTAGATTATATATTATTTGTGCTATTTGTTTTATTATGCATATTTAAAAAAATTTTGTGTGCGCTGCAGCCTACAATTTAGATTCTGAATTTTAAATACTGATCCTAATACTAATCAAGAAGTCATTTATTATATTTCATGATTTAAATCAATAATCTTGTTATACAATCAATATCAATACTCTCTTCAAAGTACCACCTTTCGTTTAGTACCCTCTTTATACAGTACCTGAGATATTATTTAATTAATCTTGATATTTTTGAAAAAGATCAGAGTATTATATGAAAACTAGTAAATATATTGAAAGTTTACCTTATAGTATTTCGTAAATAATTTAGCCATTATCTTTTTAATATGTTTAACCAAATTATTAGTCATGGCAGAAAATTTTATTTGTTCTAATTCTTCATCTTCTGACACTTCCTCATTAAACACGTTAATTGTCTGTGATATCAAGATCTATTTTATCTAAAGTATCAATACTGACATTTAAAAATTCTTTTAATAAAGAATTATGAAGAGAACTCATTGTTAGATAAATAATACTCATTATTAAATATAAACTTCCTGAAATATAATTTGTTATATCACTAAATGGTTTTAAAACTTCAATAATATCAGAAATTGCAGTCCATTTATTCTCTGTAATCATAATTGATTTTAGACATTTTCCATTCTCGATTGCATCTCTTTCTAGCCAAACAGTTAGTGAACTTGCAAGTATCTTGATATAAGGTTTGAGCTCAAACATTCGAACCCATGCATTATAGGTAGAATTCTAATAGGTTCTTATATCACTTTGTGCCTATAAAAAGATAGTATTTTTCTCCTCATTCTATATATAAAACTGATAATTTTAGTATAAATCATAATACAATATAGCATGAACAGCCTGATATTAAAAATCTAAAATCATTATCTAAAAGTTTAATTGAAAAAAATTTTAAACAAAATCTATAAATTGATATAAACTAATTTTGTTGATAACTATTTGCCGACAGCCATTTTGCTGAAATTATCTGGATTATATTGCATACAAGAAATAAGAAGATAAAATAGAAATATTCAAATAAAGTTTTTACAAAGTATAGGTGGCCTGATTAATAGTAGTGTTGACTAGAATGGCTAAAAGTAAATTGTCAGCAAAATTGCTATTAGCAAATTTAGCCAAAACCTAACAAAGATAAGACCACTCCAAGTCAACTCCACCAGGAGTCTAAACACTTTTGCAGTAATGTAATATAGCACATTGTAGCATATTTGAATATGCTTTTTTGGCTTTATATCATGTTTCCGGCTAGGGCTCATGGTTATAGGCCTTGAAAGACATTTTTTGTCAGTAACCAAAGGCTGATTTAAGCACTAATTTTTGAGTATTTTCACTTTTTTTACTTTTTTTCTTCTTGCATATGTGTTCAACTCCAATTCTGTGAAAGTAACAATTACCAACTTGAAGCATTCTATTGGCACTTCTCATTTTATCAGATAAAATTACAATTTTAGTGAACTCTTTCGAATTATCACCCTTTGCAGAATTTTTAATAGTTCTCAAATGCTTTATTCATATCGATTTTGACTCCAATTCTTGTTTTAACATCAGACTGATTCAGAACAACCAAAATTTATGCATCTAATTGGTCATTTTTCATGCGTTATATCACTTTATTGCAAAAGTAGACTTCTGGTAGATTATTCAAATCGATTCTCTGTTTAGCATAATATGAAATATTTTATAAAAGAGTGGAGCACAAAACAACAAAAAATATAATTCTATTAACTAAAAAATATAAAAAGCTAATACAGCAACTTGTTTGTGTTAATATAATGTTTTTTCATTAAAAATTTTAAAAAATAGAGAGGTGGTTATATTAAACAAATAATTAAATTAGTATGCACTAATTTGGTTTAAAAATTTAAAAATCACATATATACAGGAAAAATCGCAAATTAATGACTCTTATAATTTAATTAATTAGACTATTTATGTATATAGTAAAACCTCCTTAAATATATCCTCCTTGGGACCATAGTAAAAACAAAAAAAAAGAACAAAATGCGCATTTATAGAGAGCAAACATATAGCGCTTTTATAAGTTTGGCCAAGCAATGCTATACACTTATAGAGTTTGTATTTGTGGAGGTTTTTTGTATTTACTTTTAAATTTACTTCAGTTGCTTTTTCTTGGCTCAATTTTGTTTTTGAACTGACACTTGCACTGCCTCAAGATGCTCATTTGTTTAGGCAAAATAAAAAATTTAATCAGATGGTTCATCCAAGTAATTAGATGCTTAGCAGGCAAGAGCCCCTTTTGTACAATCAGATTCAATATATGGGCAGAACATGGAACCTATTTTATACCAAGCTTATTGTATGCTAACTTCATATTTGTCCTACTATCTGACGTAATTAAGAAAACTTTGCTTTTTATACTCCAATGTTCAAGAATGTCCTCAATATATTTTGCGATTGCATCGCCTGTATGGGATATTAAAGGAAAGTAACAGCCAAAACAGCTTCATTTAGCTCAAAATCTTCATTAATTTATGTCGCAGTAATACCCAAGTAACCTTAACGCGAATACGCTGTCTACAAATCTATAGTTAACGATACAGTTTCAGCTTTGTGTAAATTATAGCGCAGAATAGAACTGATTTGATTAAATCCCTCATCAATTAAACTCTTAACCTTTCCTCTGCTTAGTACAATCCATCATAAATCTATAATTTTTGCAAATCATTTAAACATATTTCCTTCATTAAAAGATAATGAAAGATTTTATATAACAATAATCTTAGTAATAGCTTTGTCACGAATAGTCTGTTCAGTTATATTATACGGTTTTGACAAAGAATTTTTAAATGCCCTTTTAATAGTTGTCTGCTTTTTGTTTGACTTGAAAAAAAAGGTTAGATTTATATAGTAGAATTTTAATAATTTTAACTGAAAAAAGCTTACTTGTCCTTTATTTTCAGAATATCTATGCACAATCTTTAGATGCCTCTATAGTGCCATTGTTGACTCGCCAGTCTTTACTTTTGTATTACAGAGTTTTCTATCCATCATTTCAATATTACACACTCCATAGTAGATATTATCAATATATACTTTTTTAAACCATTTCCAAGCAGGGCTATGAAGTAAGGATCTACCAGCTTTAATTACTTTCTTATATGTAATTATGTCACATAACTGACCAACAGATGCATCCAGTGTGTTAGCTTTTTGATGTTTAGGTGAAATCTGTTCATTATTAGGACTAACTGAATAAAATGAATTAGTCTCATCATGATGTTCAGAGATTCTTGTTTTTTTTTGTTTTTGAAGATACATTAGATCAAATGTATTTTTTGTTCCCAGGCTGCTTTTAACTTGCAGTTTCGAAAAGGATCAGGAGGTTGTTTTCATAATTAAGAACGTGAAATTGCAGCTATCACTGTAGCTTTTCCTTTTTCCTTTTTTGTTTTGTTTGAATATCTCCTATGTCTATTAATTGATGGTTCTAAGTAATTAGAACCAGTAGGTACCATTTCTTCTTCTGAGCTTAATTCTGATATATAATTACCAACTTTTTCATAATCACTAATATCATCATAATCACCAACTTCTTCATCAGTATATAATCTTTTACCAATATATAGTTCTTCACCAGTATATAGTTCTTCACCAGTATATAATCCTTCAGTATATAGTCTTTTTTCTGCTAGCTAATTTTTGGTATGATTACACAATTCAAGTTATTTTCATTTATATTATTTAAACTTGTACTTGCTGCAAGAGTATGATTCATAGTTTCTGATGGATTATCCATGTTAACTTTTAGATTCTTGCTTTTTTTTTTTATTCTTTTTTTTTTCTAGTTAAGATATATATATATATTAGAATTAAAAATTGCTTAGTGACTTTTAATTATTCAATAAAATGATAGTAGTAGAATATAATAGCTACTACTAAAATATTAAAAGAAGATAATAATGATAAGAACCCACTTCTAAAATTATTGAAAAGATATTTTTACTAATTTAATATCAATAAAAGTCTACTAAAATTATTGAAATGGTGGTCTTAATTTTATACTAATAATGATAATAGAAAATCTTAGATTTAATTAAATACCAAAATTGAATACATACCAGTATCAAATCAAGATTTTCTAAATCAGTCTAAAAAATCTAAAACCAGATCCAAAACTTTAAATCAAATTTGATTTTTATAAGGCTTGATTAACCAATTTCGTAGAAGCTTTAACATATATATCACAAATATTACAGAGGTAACTGTTTGCTAATAAATTGAATCAATAACAAAAGAGTCTTAATACCTCATGAAATTTAAGTTCAAGTTTATCTAACCATTTATAAAATTATTAACAGATTACAAATCAGGCTACTTTAAATTACTCGAGTAAATTTAGCTATTATGAAATTACTAAAAAAATTTGATTAAATGCCTCTTAACAATTTTTAAAATATATTATAGCATCTATTCAATCATACATCAATTATAAGTTGTTGAAAAAGTAAGTAGCAAATATATATTATGATATCCATTCACTCACATGTCAATTATAAGTTGTTGAAATAATAAGTGACAAATATTCATAAGCTTATTATATTTTTAAACAATAAATTTTTTTATAGTTATGAATTAAAAGAAAATAAAATTAAATAGTAAATATTTATGAACTCTAATTATTTATTTTAAATTTAAATGCTTAAATTTAATAAATGTTTTACTTACATACTAAATCATTATAAATAAAATGAATTTAATAAATTTATTATACTTAGATTAAATATTTATACACTAAATTATTGTGAATAAATTGAAATTAAGTAGTAAATATTTATGAATTTGAATATTTTATTTTTAATACAGTCAACTTGTTCTATAATGAACTGAAGATTCTGGGTGAAAAAAAGTTTATCATAGAGTAATTACTATGTTTTATTAGGAATCATATTACTTTTTATATTGAACTATATAAAATTTCTAAATTTTAAGTTCATTATCCAGAGTTAATAATGAAAAGTTTATTATATTCAGAATCAACAATATTGAGATAAATAGATATTTTTTTATATATACTAATTTAATACAATTAAATATGTATAATAAATACAACCTAGAATATATGTCCTCATATAGGCTAATTCGAAACATATACATATACAGTTTAAACTTAATACATATCTAAATTTTAATAGCAGGTCAGATTATTTTTTTGACTAATAGGTTTTGGCTAGGACTAATAAATTTGACACATTATTTTGCATAATCTAATATATTCTAGGTTTTTATTTAAGTATTTATGTACATATATGCAATCTTTATTTTGTGCAAATTTTTGATAAGCAAATCTTATTGGCTTGTAATTGGTTATGCATAAAATCGATCAAAGGGCTATAATTGATCAAAATCTATAATCAATCAATAATATATAATCGATCAAATATTTATGACCAAGCAAAAATTTATAACCGATTAAAAATTTTTGATCGATTAAAACTTGATGATCGATTATAATTGAACAAAACTTTATAATCGATCACAATTATTTTAACTGACAATTAGTCATATTATGTTTGATTCTCATCTCTATTTTGATCTTAATACTTGTATTAAACTAGTCCTTTTATCAATTTTTTCTAAACTACAAACCAATTAGCCAAGATAAGTTGTTGTATCTAGGCTTAAAGTACCTTCTAATTTTATTTTATTTGGTTTTCTTTTAGTGCAATTTTAGTAGCCAGGTTGGTGAACTTTTCTTGCTCTAGGGTTTTCATCTGATTCTTTAGTCTTTGGTTTTAGCTTTTTGCAGTATTGTTAAAGATCTTTACCATCTTTTTACTTGGATCTTGTCAAATGAGTTTTAATTATTCTGGTTTCTTAGATTTAAATTGCCTAAGAGCTTCTATTTTAAGATAGTAGTACCAAGATTACAGATGATATATCTAATCAATCATCAAATAATTATTATTAGTATACAGACTTATTTTTCTAAAATATCCTGATAAAATTTGAACTCTAGACCTGCCACTTGGGAATGACAACTTAACCACTACTCTAAGTTACCATACTCTAATATATTTAATATTTTTAATGTATTCTTACTTAAATTTTGTTTATTATCTTTTAAAAGATTATTGTAAACAGAAAAACTTCTTTCAATAGCATAAGATAAAATAAGTAGTCAAATATAAAGTATTATTGCATAAATCAGAAGAAAAAAAATATTTTTTCTATAAATCATTTAAATTATTGAATTTAATTAAAAGTTTTTATTCTCATAATAAAGCATCTAATAGATTATATAATTTAAAATTTTATGCTAAATAATATTGAATATTACAATTATTAGTTATTATTTTAATAAAATAAAAATTAAATATTTGCATTGCAATAAAAAAAGATGTAATAGATGGTATAAAAAATGATCATTAAATATTTTGTATATTGCAGCAAAAGCTGTTTCAAAATTTGTAATATATAAATTTATTTTATTTTTAAAATCTGTACTAATTTCACTATTACTAATAAAAATTTCAAGTTAATTAATTTAATCTTTTACAAATAGAATTATAAGATCATTTTTTTGTTAAAATAAACTATTTTGTATAGTAACAAATAAAAGTTAAATAAATTTGAATTCATCTATTTTCTTTAAAGTTGTCAAAAATATTTATAATTTTTTTAATAGTTTTAAATAATTTAGTCTGTTTTTTCTTATAAAACTCTTGAATAAATTCAAAATAATTACAGATATAAAATACAATTTGAAACTATATATTTTAGCAAGTTATGATAGGTAATTGCAAAAATTTTAAAGGTGGCTTTGATTATTGATTTAATTTATATTATATTAGACAATTCATATATCAAGATCAATAAGCTGTAGAATATATAAATATTTTTTAATATATATAATTAAAGTTTTAACAGTATTGAAATAGTAAACTAATATCTATAATTCACTAAAAATTATATAAAATTAATATATATTTAAGTTTATAAATAAATTATAATGCTTATTCTTTATTTGATTAAATTTATAATATGAGCTAGATATAATTGTGTTTTAACTATAATATTACAAAATTTAAAGTATCTTTAAAACATTTTTATATAAGAAGCTAAGTCAGAAATAATTGTTTTTAAAAAAGTAAAAGAAATATTCCATTTTACTAAAAGTTATAAAATAAGTTCACCTATTATTAAATAGTTTACAGATTGTAAAAAATTAACTAATATAAGTTTTAGTATTCAATTATAAGAAAACAAGTGTTAACTACACTATAGCCTTTAACATCTATTATTTTATCAACTATAATTGCTACTGGCTTTTCACTAAATATAACTGCAAGATTTTTAAACATTTTTTAAAGATTTTTAGCAAATATAAACAATATAAAGTATTAGTTATAAATATAGTATCACCTTCTTTATAATATATATTCAAAACCTTCTAAAAATTTGTTGAATTTCTCTAACAGTATATTAGCTTTAACCCAAGCTTTCATAAGATTACAAATAACTTTTTTTTTGGCAACTACTATTAAAAATGATAGAAGATATTGTTGTCAGATATTATTTAAAGATTTAAGATAGGTTTTTATTTTTTTAGTAAATTTTATTATTTATATTAGTAATTTGCTAGTTAACTAATTACATTAATGTGATTTACAAAAGAAGTTATTAAAAAGAGTTGTATAAGAGTATAAAAATCTATAGATTGTTTAGACTTATTAATTAATTATTGTTATTGTTTTTAGATAGTTCTTAATTAAGTTTTATTAAAAATATATTGATATCTTGATTAAAGTTTTTTATAACTTGACTTGAAGATTCATTAATATCTGTCATGATAATGTCTTTATTATTAATTTTTTCTAATAGGTTGAAGTTTGTGATATTGTTATTGTATTAAAATTATTTTTTTGTTGAAATAAGAATTTGGTAATAATAAGAGTTAGTTTGGAGTTGAAAAGATGAATAATGAAATTTTGAGTTTCTTGAATTTTATATCAAATTTTTCTATATTATTTCTTCTGCTTGAGAATAAAAACTTTTCTTATATATATTTTTAATATTAGTAATAGTATTTTTTTTATCTTTGTATTTAAGTAAAATAAAGATATATAAGAACTCTAGCTAGAAAGTCAGTTTGAATTAATTTGGCTATAATTTTGTTTATAGCAGCTTAAGAGTAATAGTTATCAATTTTATTATTAAGAATAGCTGCTTTTTAATGCTCTTTAAAATAACAATAAAACAGAATTTTTTTTGAATAATTTTTTTATATATATTATTGAGTTTCATATATTTTTTTTAGTTTGATTAGTTAGGCTATATAGTAAAAAAATAGAAGTAGAAACTTTAAATAAGGTGAGAAAATCATTATTTTTTTAAAATATTAAGTAGTTTAGTTAAGATAAAAGCTATTTGAGTTTTGAAATAAAAGTAAAGTCTTTGACTAAAGCTAAATAATGGTAAAGATTGTTTGAAGTATAATATATAAATATTTTTAATATTATATTTATTGGGCTTCCTCTTTCCCCTTCTATAACTAATAATAGTCAGTCTTAAATTAGTTTATAAATAGAAAATTAAAAGGTGATTTGCTATACTTAGGTGGTTATACAAGATATAATAAATAGTTCAAAATTAATATCATCTTAATACAAATCTGTAACTAATCTTATTATATATACAGCAAATTCAAAATATATATATATATTATATTCAAAATCAACTGATAAATTGGTATAGTTTTTAATTTTGCATATATGTATATAGAATAATGCAGCTTTAAGGTATAAATGCTTGCATTTATTAAGTAAATCAATAAAGTTTATAGTGAATTTTTTTAAAAAGAAAGATTTACTAGTATGTGATAGTTAATTGCAATTTGGTGTTTAATATATTTATAAATTTTTTGTTTTGTTGATCTTAATAAATTGATATTTATAAATTTTAAAAAATTTTTTAAACTAAATAATTTGGCATAATAGATTCAATAGATTGATTCATAAATATATACATATATATATAATTAAGATCAAATAACTAATATAAATATTATATTATTATGAATATTTCAGGTCAAATATAGAAACATAATACTTTCAAAGCATCTTTACTAATAAATAATTGAAAAAAATTTAGAAAGCTTATCATTTGAAAATTGCAAATTCTAAATGTTAGCAAGTCTTTTATAAGTTGATTTCTCAAATATTTTCAAAGATATTGATGTTTTAAAAACTTTTACAATAGATATTAATAAAATCAAAAATTTTTTTAAATAGATTCTTGAGTCATATCTTTAAACAATCAACAAAATTCTTGATCATATCTAACTTTTTAATGTTAGCAACTACTCGTATAATATGTTTATTATAAAGGCTATTTTATATCTGAAGGTTTTTATATTTCTTGTCAATATTTTAGCCTTCTCTATAAGTTTTCACACAAACTAAACATAAAATATTCAATTAAAAATTTATAATATTGAATATATCAACATTTATAATAATAAAATTACTAGTAGAACAAGTATTATATAATTTCATATAAGTTTGTATAAGTTCTGAAGTCAAAATTATATCTAATTTTTGTTATGTAAATAATGCTTATAGAGCTGGCTTATAAAGTCTAGTAATGCTGATACAATAATTAATACTATATAATGTAAAAGTTATGTACTATACATACATATATATATATATACATACTGTTATTGGCAAAACTACATGTACAAAGAATCTAAGAATTATACAGAACACTATATGTTAGAAGCACAAAATTATTACACAAATACTATTATACTGCAGTACCCTGAGATCTACAATTTTACTATAAGGATCATATGCAAGAAACCTGCCCAAGCCAAGTCCTATATAAGGAAGCATCAATTGTATGAAAGCCAAGCCTCTGTTAACAATCCTATTGAAGCAAAAGACACTTATCTGATTTGGTTTATAGCTGTCAAGATAATATTACTTTGTCAAATAAGGTGTGTAGCTATAAATAATAAAGCATATGAATCAATAGAAGAGTCAATGAAAGAATGAGTAAATTGACAGGTAAAGAATGATGACAGTGCAAAAGCCTTCATTTGACTTAACTTCTTTTTGACTTCTTTTTATTCTATCAAACATTTTAATGAGAATGGCTGTAAATAATAGTTGAAATTAGACCAAAAAAAAGGTTATATAGCATGAGTTCAATAACAAATTAATAAAAAAAGATAAGAAAATATTCGATTTTAATTTCTTTCTTGCTCTGTAAATTTGTTATAAATAAGAGGTTAAATTCCTCTTATAAAAAAGAAAATCTGTCTTTTATACAATAAAGGCATTAATAAAAGCTTTTTAATAAACCCAAGTTATAACATTCTTTAAAAAATACATCAACATACTTACTTAATAATACTTAGTAGACACCTTTAACTCATGCCAAATCAAAATCTACCTCACATTTTTACTGAGCATTGTTAGTTGATCTTGCTCTCTTCTAAACATCAGATCATTATTTTCCTTCTCTTTTGTTAGAGATATTGTTTTGGTCAATTTGACTCTAACATTTTTAGTGGTAATTATGAAATAGAATGTCTCCAACTCAAAGCCAAGACTATGAAATAGAACATTCCTGACTCAAAGCTCAAGATTATGAGATTCAATGCTAAAAGAATGGTTAGATCATAACTCCTCAAGCAGCTGAACTGTGGAATCTTACTATATCAATTAATTTTAAATGTGGAATATGAATTAAAGCAGCAACAAAGATGACTATCCTCTGATGTTTTTTTTTAATTTTGTCTTTTTCTTTGTTTGAGTTTTTTTTTCTGTTTGATTAGATTTTTGATAAGAACTAACATACTGCATCTGAACCAAATTAGTAATATAGTTTCTTGTAGACCAATAAACTGAATCTATCAAAATTTGGTTTCTTTTTTTTTCTTCTTTTCTTTCTTGTTATACGTTGTTATCTTATTGCTAAACTTTAAGTATTGTCTAAGTTTTAGCCAGTTGCTAAAATATAAAAAAAAATTTTAAATAAAAGTCAGTAAGTACTCAATAATAAAAAAAAAAAAAATAATGTATAAAATGTTTCAAACAGCTGCTAAAAAGAAGTTCTGATATATATATTGTGATATAGAAAAACACATCATATCTGTATATCTAGCTGCAAGGAAGTTAGATAAAAAGTGTACCATGATTCTCAAATCACTTACATTAGAACAATTTAAGTTAGTTCAAGAAATAGTAACCAAAAATTTTAATAGCCCTCTTAACACTGAATAGATTTCTGAGACCCTGGAACTTACAATGAAATTCATAGAGAAAATGTTAAAGAATAACAATAAAAAAAAGAAATCACATACCTGCCCATATATCTGACTTGTCCAACCACAAGAAGTATAATCCCGCCTCAACACTTTCTGTATTTGCTGTTCCAAAAGTCTCTCATATGAATAGAATTGAAAGCACAGAAAATTTTTTGGACATGCCTCCTAGGCATGCCTCCAATTTTTTTGTTTTAAGGGCATGCCATATAGGCATGTTCCTGAAATTTTTTATATGCTAATTTTTTTATATATAAATTTTTTGAAAAAAGGGCATGCCCCTGAGGCATGTCCTGGGCTACCGTGCCTTCAACCCTACCCATGAAGCCCTGTCAAAAAAAACCTGCCATAGTAGATGTGAAACTTGGTTTTGAAGAAAGAAATATTGATCTAAAGCTTCTCTTTCAAAAGTTGACTGCTAAATGTAATGCTATTATACAGAAATAGGCCTCGACAAGAATGAAAGAAATCGTTCATGAACCTCTGAAGGAAAATAATGTTGAAAAGAATAAGGAATGGTGTTTGAAACCTGTTGAAGATAAAAGCTAAGTGAAATTGAAGTCGAAAAGGACAAATATAATAGAGTTAGATTTGAAAAGAGCCAATCTAAGGCACCTACCTGTTGCTAAAAAATAGCGAAAATAGGTCATGATAGTGTTAAGGATAGTGATCAAGAACTGAGTATTCTTGACAATTACTTTTGTGATGAATTGGAGCTGTATGAGAAACCTTGTCACAACCTCAAAAACTCTGTAGTATGTCTTTCCAATGCTAAGGATTGTTCTGTCAACAAAATCAACCTTGAACTCTATTATCCAAATGGGATTAGTATTAAAAAGAATAAACATGATGTATTCATTTATTATAAAAGTCTGCAGATATGGGTGTTGCTAATAGGACACATCTAATTGAATACAGCTATAAAAAAGAAACTAGATCTAAAAAGATAAAAGTAGATACCATCAGTAAATCAGAATCAAATGAATTAGATAAAGAAATACAAACTTATCCACAAGGCTTGAAGATATCGACAATAATGAAACTGATGATGAAAGTGATTATGAAATATTGGTTGATGATGATAATAGTAATGAAAAAGTAAATAGCATCTGACCTGAAAGACTCTTGAAAAAAGAAACTCTGCAATATGCATGTGAAAAAAAGTTGGAGAAAGTTAGTAAATTATAGATGAACACATGTGCAGTAGAAAGATACACCATGATAGAGCTTGCCAAAAGAATGTTTCAAGAAATTGGTGCCAAAACAGATGAACCATATGAATGTATAGAAAAGATGCTGAAGATGACAAATCAGATGGACAGTTCAACTCTGATGGACCTTGTTATTAGCATAAGAACTATCTTGAAAATAAAAACTTCACATCTAAACAACTCTGCATTTTTAATACACTTTCTGATCAAATCATACAAAAGCTACTGGACGTATATATTGAAGAAATTAAAATTTAGAGAAGCTCGTCTAATAAAAATAAAAAAAAAATAAAGTTAGTAAAAACAAACAAAAATCAACTCATAATAAAAAACTCAACCACAAAAGATTTTTTGTACCTGCTACAATGGAACATTGTATAGATATTCAATCCCAAAGAAACCTGTAAAATAGATTTAACTTTAACCTGACTTACATAATAATAAAAAAAAACCTCTTTTCTTATCTTTTGAATTGTATGTGAATACATATGATAGTTGTACGCGAAGTTAAAGGATGTATGACAAGGGTAGTTTGTTGACTCTTCATTTTGAACATGAATATTTTTTTTGTGTTTGAGTTTTTTTTGTGTGTTGTTTAGTCATGAGTTTAAGTTTTAGTTTTTGAATTTTCTTTTTAGTTTTAGTCTTATTTAGTGTTAGTGTTAGTATATAGATTTTTTTAGTTAAAAAAAAAAAATCATCTGTAATACTGCACCTTAGAAAGAAGACATATAATCAGATGATCACGAAGACCAACATATTGGAGTTTTCACAGAATGTGAAAAATTAAGGTGAGGAGAATTGTTACTGGCAAAACCACATACACAAAGAATCTAAGAATTATACAGAACTCTGTATATTGAAAGCATGAAATTGTTATACAAATACTATTGTACTGCAGTACTCTGGGATCCACAATTTCATCATAACAATCATATGCAAAAAACTTGCCCAAACCAAGTCCTATATAATGAAGCATCAATCATATGGAAGCCAAGCCTCCGTTAATGATCCCATTGAAGCAAAAGATACTTATCTAATTTAGTTGACAGCTGTTAAGGTAATATTACCTTGTTGGGTAAAGTGTGTGGCTGTGAACAATAAAGCATATAAATCGATGGAAGAGTTAATGAAAGAATGAGTAAATTGACAAGTAAAGAATGATGATGGTGCAAAAGCCTTTATTCGACTTACTTTCTTTTTACTTCTTTTCATTCTGTCAAATGTTTTAATAAGAATAACTGTAAATAATGGTTAGAATTAGACCAAAAAAGAGTTATATAGCATAAGTTCAATGCCGAATCAATGAAAAGAGATGGGAAAAATGTTCAATCTTGATCTTTTTCCTGCCCTGTAAATTTATTATAAATAAGAGGTCAAATTCCTCTTGTAAAAGAGAGAATTGACCCAGTACGTACACAATCTGCCCTTCATACAATAAAGTTGTTAATAAAAGCCTTTTAATAAACCCAAGTTACAATGTTTTTTAAAAAATGCATTAACATACTTACCTAACAATACTTAGTAAATGCCTTTAACCTGTGCCAAGTCAAAATCTACCTCACATTTCTACTGAGTATTGTTAGTCAACCTTGCTCTCTTCCAAACTCCAGATCATTGTTTTCCTTCTCTTTTGTTAGAGGTGTTGTTCTGGTCGATTCTCCTCTAACAATACATATGTACAATTTTGTAATTTTATTAAATCTACTAGTATGTAACCCGTCGCTTGCACTGACAGTGTACAAACTATACTGATATGACAAATATTTTAAATTTAAAATTAACCCTAAGCCAAATACAAATTGTTAATCGTATAATAGTATAAATAAGATAGGGAGACGTTAGAATGCCACTTATTAAACATTATTATATGACTTCATGGACGTGCTTGTCAGCAAAGTCAAGTCATATGATTATTTTTAATACGTAAATGACATTAGACAACTTTATAAATAAATATTAATATTGCAATCGTTAGTGTTATCGTATTATGCTAGCAAGATTAATTTATTCTCCAGTTGTTATTTATACTTCCGTACTATTTTTTCACGGTTATTACAGATTCGGGCTGATCCAGAATTTTATATTTCTATTTGATTATTTATCTTTATTGATATAATGAATTTTTTAAATTATTGAAATTGCTAATAAAAGTAAAAGTTGTTTGCTGAAGTGAGAAGAAAATAAAGAAGTCTTGTGATTATAGTAAGGCTAAACTTTATGAAATACATAACTTTAATTTTAAAAAATAGTAAAGAAGTATAATAAGAATCGGGAGAATAAATCCCAAAGTGGTCAATAGTCAAAAATAAATCCGATCATCTGATCCAGATCTAATTTTTGACTATTGCTATATATGCACATCAGTTACACTAATATGCAAGAGTCGTCCCTCATGCAGAACTCCAGTTATTTTAATATGGTTCCGTCAATCTATAATCGCCAATCACGTGAAATGTTTCAATTTTCTCATGATCGTGATTTACCAATAAAATCGCATTATAAAATTGGTAGGTAGTACAATGAATGTATAACGGCACTCTTTTTTATTATTTTTAGTGATGGCGATAGATTTTCTTTTGACTATTTATACTATTTCTTGGATCAACTTATAAAAAATAAAAAATAAAACGGAAAGGATAAAAAAAGTATAATCCCAAGAGGTTAAAGTATTATCTTAATAAATTACTTTATTCAAAATCTATTTGTTTTTCAACATTTTTGGGAAGACGACAATGAGTTTTATACTTATTAACAGCCTATTCTGCAATTCTTCCTTCTAAACCTCTATTATAAGCATCCATATATCTCTAGGATTTATGTGCGAATTTTCGAATTTTTGATACAGGAACACTGACAAGAGCCTTAGGAACTTGTTGTAGTAGGTCGGTATAATTATACTTGCATAATTTCCTTGTCTCATGTTTTACATACCCCCAATACCTCTCTATAAAATTACACTCACAATGAAATTTAGGATACCGCTCAAATATATGACCTTTTTCAAGAATCGCTTCTTCTAAAATTGATTTCTGCTCGCAGAAATCAGGTTGCTGTGATATTATTCTTCGCGCATAACAACCTAACCTTTCTGGATTATCCTCCTTATTTTTTCCAGCACATTTTTCATACACCAATCGAACACCTTCTAGTGGTCACAATTTACGCTCTGTAAGTACTTGTTTTATTCCTTTTAGCACCCCTCGCAGTTTTTCTACTTCATAATCATTTGGAAATATCATTGGCTGTGTAATGTTCTCTCCATTTTCGTTGATATACCAGCCATCACGCAATGTAGATTGTACCCCTCCAGGACCCAGATTCATTTTTGTTGCGACCAATGCGTTTTCTGCCATCGCATTGTGATTTGTTGATTGGTCAAAACAGAAAACTCCAACGCATCCAGAGTGAAGCACCTCAAATATTGAAATTGCTTGTTGCACAAGTTGTTCCAACATATGCTCCGATTTCCAGTATCCATTTGACTGTATGGAACAAAGAATGAATGCCTCCTTATACTTTATATGTGGATTTGCTCTTATTTGTTCATCAGACAGCCTTAGCAATCCATGGCATGGACAGAGGAAGGCCGAAACCATGATAGAGCGTCCTTCACCTTTCGGACGTAAAATATCTTCATTTTTTCCGATCCATATTCTTCGTTGGCCGTCATTTGCATAAAAATGGCACTCATCATGCGTTATCTTATTAATATATAACATTGTATAATTATGGTTATTATGTTTGTAGATAACATGTTATTCTCATAGCATCTTAAATTTGGCTGGTATTAAACCATAGGAAGGATAGAGTAAAATCGAAACAATTTGGAATGGTAGACAGTTAGCGAACACAAATACGAACACAGTTAATAGGTTTTTAGGTGGTATAATTTACAAGAAAATTACTAGTGGGTTTGGTAATTTACGATGAATATTTGTAGGTTACGGTAATTTTACAACTCTGACAGTAACATGACCATGGAGGTTTAAAGAAAAAAAATCATTACCTGTACTAACTCTTTATGACCGTGTTCAAGCTGAGGTTCTATCACGATTTCTAACATTTCGCCATCAAAATCTTTCATGAATTTTTTATAGGTAAACATTCTTTTAAGCCATTCCTTTCTATAAGCTACCACATCTGGCCTTTCATGCCGTCATAATAAACCCCTTTTTATTTTCATCATATCTAAACCCCCATAAATGCATGTAGGTTCGACATGTTCTTTCGGAAATAGTGTTTTTCTTAATTTGCCCTGACATTTGAGGAAATACCGTCCCTTCAATATATGTTTTTAAGGCACCAGGAGAATGCGATTTAGGTTTTTGTTGATGTAACCAAGCTTGACAACTATCAGAAAAATCTTTATTTTTGATCAAGCTTTTCAACTTAGCATCCTTTCCTTGACGGTCAAAAAGAAGTTCACCTGTTTCTATATAATGATTCCCCCATTTCCTAAGACGTTTTGCTATAGAATCACCATTGCCCCATATAGTTTGGGCAAGATGGATGCTTGCATCCATTTTGTCCCATCCATCTAGTAATAATTTTATGTATCTACTTATACTTAGGAGGCGCAAATGGTTATATATAGGTACATTAGCTTTTGAAGATTTTGTAATTTTACATTGTATATTAATTTCTTTTAAACGCATCTCAAGTTTTTCTTTAGCTTCAACAGGTGATCGTAAGTTATAGGTAGTTATTTGAGGTGGCATTGGCATAATGGAGGGATTTAGTGTGGATGATCGTGTTAAATTTACTAATGACAAGGCATTTGCTAATAATACTGCAAAAGATGGTTGTGGTGACTGTAATCGGTTTACAATATTAGCAGCTGGAAATAGATGCGACAAATCAGGCGATGCTTCAACATTTAACGACATTTTAACTTTTTGCTTTTTTCTCCAGACTATTTTTCTCGACATTCCGGTATATAGTGCTTTTTTTACTTCATTGGCCTTTTCTTGTGTTATAGTAACTTCTTTCATAGGTTCAATTTGTGGCATTTCTTCTTCTGCAATTTCGTCTTGTAGCAAATTTTGTGTCATATCCATGTCAAGTGACATTTCTTGTGATACAAAACGACCTTGCTTTCTAGATAATTTGGATGTATGTAGTTTTCTTTTATTAGGACGTGACATTAGATATTAGAGTTAATTCAAGGTTAGGTTGGCTTAAGGACTCAGAATTTATAATCAAAGTGATATTATTAACACGCAAATTTTAATTAACAGATTCATTTAATATAGAAGTCATCAATGCCTCTTTTTATATTCCTTTAAGATTTGATTAGCTATAATATATGAGTGATGAAAAGGGAAAACCTGTAAATTATTTTACTCATTATCGAGATAATGAGTGAAATGATTTACAGGTTTTTCCTTTTCGTCACTCATATGAAAGGGTTACAATTATGATAAAAAAGAGTAAGGGAACAAAGTTTTTTTTCTATTAAGAGCTATCCCACCTACAATCTGCGTTGAGGTGGTGTCGAGAATGCATACTTGAATATTTTGTGCATTACGAACAATTATGAATATGCGATTATAGACTGATTAAAATTATAGTTTTAATCGGTTTGTGATTGTATGTATATTCAAAATTTTACTTGAATGGTCACACACAAAATATTCTTCTAATGTCATTGATTTAAGGTAATTCATAGCTGATACGCATAGTATAAGGGCTCCGTGATAAAATTAAAGAACGTGCAGACAATGGTTAAACTAACCATAACAGGAATAAGGTGAGAGCCTTTTGTTAATTGACTTTACCGATTTTAAGATTCTTCTGTAATTTGACAAAAGCTACAGAGTCAAATTTAATGCACAATTGCATGTAAAATTTAATGATCATTGTTTTCATTTGAATTGAACACGAGCTTTATGTCTGAGTAAAATGGGGATACAATTTATATACCTATATAAGTGAATCGAGAACATATCAATTGTTAGCTCAAAAATAATTTACTGTAAGACTGCTTTAAAGATTACAATATATATAACAGACTTGTAAAAATCACAATAGCACATTGCATTATTTGGTATAATTTTTAATCTTCAACGCTACTCATACTATTTTTGCAGTCATAAAAACATTAAATAAAAATATCACTACAAAATTTCAATGTGTATTAAAATATTAAATGTTTATTTAATCAAAAATTGAACGTATACCAATTACAAATTTTATATTTTAAATTATTGAATTATTTAATTAGTTTGAAATTAATAAATTAAAAAGTCATATTTATTTAATCGCTTTAAACCTTCAAAATTCTAAAATTTATATTTCTAGCAATGTGGGTTGAATACACGATGTAATTTTGGCCTTTAAGTCTTAGCAAAAGTTTAATTATTCACGTTATTTATTAAAGATTTTCAATATAGAAAATTATTTCTGGTTTTTTTGACTTAACAGAGCTTTATTTAATCAATTGAGAAGAAAATATAAATCAAATTGAATGAGAAATTTGCTTTTTTCTTCGATCATATATAAATGATATAAGCCAATCAAATCCTGCAAATCCTCACATGATTGTTTCAATTTCGCAAAACATATGAACTTTAAAACGCTAAAACTTTTGACAGAGACGCTATTTCAAAAAACTGACCGATAAATTTGTTCTTCGTAATAAGCTCTACAACATTATCGTTTTGTTTTTTTGAAATATCTTGTTTGAAACAAGCTTTAACATTTTGAAAATTTCTGATTTTTTGATCACATGATTGGCGATTATAGATTGCCAGAACCATATATATATTGATATTGATTATCGTTATGCCAAGATAATAACTTAACTGGATTGGCTGAAAAATCATTCGATTAATTTTTATCAGGTGTTCCAGAAATTACACTTATTTTTGATTACCGGTGTCATATGATTTAATTTTCTCTGATAGCCAATAAAATGATTAAGAGGTTTAAATGTAGGTTAAATGTTAAAAACCGTTTTTGGAATTGAAACCAGACTAAAAACATTACAGCTGTTCTCATAAATTCTGGATCAATTGATAAAAATTAGTTCGGCCGGCTTTGGATTTTTCGGCATTACAGTAATATCGATAACACCAAATTCAAAAACTATTGAATTCGGCCGAATTATCATTGGTCAATTTTTATCGTTGTCCCAGAATCTATGAGAACAGCTGTAATTTTGGGACACCTGGTAAAAAAAAAAAAAAAGACTGAATGATTGTTTGGCCGATTTGAGAAGTTATTGATTTCGGCATGATTACTGTAACGTTTATTATTTATGAAAAGTTTAAATTGATTAACTCACGCGAAATATATAAAATACTACAAGGCTTTAAATGGCCTCTATTTACGGTGTGGTAGTGATAATATTCTCAAAGTATACACGCTGGAAAATATTAGAACAGTTATTAATTCGAACAATTGCTAAACACTTAAGTATTAGCAGACCTTCAATAAGTCGAGTTCTAAAACAATTTCAAAGATGCCGCTTGTAAGAAAACCACGTCTACTAAACCTGTATGATATAAAATATCTTAAGTCTTTAATTGAAAAAAAGCCTTACT